GGCCCGACTCAGCGAAAACCATGATGAAAGAGCTGCTAGATTGGCGTGCAATAGAGAACGGAATTCTCGATCTCGACGATCTGAAAGCACTGAATTGAAGTATAGTGCTTTTCATTACGACCCATGTTGCGATTACAGCCTCAAACCCGAGGGAAGGATCGCCGAAATTAATAAGTCATGCCAATATTGTTGCGCACTCAAGTTCAAGAATGAGCCGCCAGGATTGTGCTGTGCAGGTGGGAAGGTAAAGCTTCCCGAATTGCTTGCGCCGCCAGAGCCATTGTTAACATTGATTTCTGGCTCAACCGCTGAATCGAATCACTTTTTAAGCAACATACGCAAGTAAAATTCATGTTTATTTCATGGGTGCTCTGGATGAGCAAGTTGACAGACGGTGTCAGATCGATAACGCCACGGATCGTGATATCGTGGCAGCGTTGCAGAATTTATTTGATCAACGCAACCGCTTAGTTGGTTTATTCTAACGGCGTTGGAGCGCATGCCGACAGATGAGTACAAGGTCCTAATCAGAGCTGACAAAACACCATCAGGCCAACACGGAAGGCGGTACAATGTGCAAACGATCGACGAAGTCGCGATTGTCATTGTTGGAAGATTTCAATTCACGCGATATTTTGTTCTTCAGCGAAGAAGCGGCGACCTCCAACGAGTTTGTGGAACGCGTCGCTCGTACGACGCTTTACAGTATCCCATAATATTTATGGAAGGACAAGATGGATACCATCTGAACATCAAAATGATTGATCCTCAAACTGGTACAGAGAACGATGAAAAAGTCAGCGCCATGAATTATTACGCTTACCGTTTAATGGTTTGAGACAATGCCGACAATCATATTCTACGATGCCGGCAGTTGTTGCATCAATATGTTGTCGATATGTATGCGAAGATTGATACCGAACGTCTTTATTCATCAGACTGAATCAATCGAAATTACGCTCAGAGGATTACGCGATGCGATAAACAGGCAGTGTCAATGCCAGTGAGCTTGGCAAGATGGTGATCTTGCCTGCGACATTGCGACATTCACCGGGAGCCCTAGACACATGCACGAATACGCACAAGATGCTACGACATACGTTCGAAACTACGGTCGCCCAGATATTTTCATTACATTTACATGTAACCCCGCGTGGGAGGAGATAATATGAAAGCGCTATTGTACCCAGATCGAACGAGCTCGGATCGCCATGATCCAGTG